ATCACTGATCAGATGTGAAGCTTGGATGGGGTCAATGTTTTTTTTCTAATTCTACAGTTCATGGGTGCAGAGCTCTATGGCAAGGTCCTTGGAATAGTTGGACTTGGAAGAATAGGAAAGGAAGTCGCCTCAAGAATGCAATCATTCGGCATGAGGGTAAGTTATACTTAACTAAACTGTTCACGTACAACAGTAATTATTTGCACTTGCACTTGGTGATTGAATTAAGCAAACATGGCTTTTTTCCCCCCTCCTTAGACAATCGGCTATGATCCAATCACTCCTCCTGAGGTGACAGCCAGCTGGGGGGTGGAGCAGATGTCCCTGGAGCAGTTGTGGCCACAGTGTCACTACATCACTGTCCACACTCCTCTGATGCCCTCTACTGTCGGTTAGTCTCAAAGCTCTCATCATTACATAGCCATCGTTCATTTTACTGAAAATGTGAACCTCAATTGTTTTTTTTGCCCAAGGTCTTCTTAATGATGAATCGTTTGCTAAATGCAAGAAAGGAGTAAAGGTTGTCAACTGTGCACGAGGGGGCATCATCGATGAGGACGCTCTCCTCCGAGCTCTGGAGTCCGGACAGTGCGGAGGAGCAGGGCTCGATGTCTTTGTTGAGGCAAGACGATTGGAACATGAAATGGTGTCATTTATCACTCTTTAATATTAAAGGTGGGGTAGGTAAGTTTGAGAAACAGACTCGAGATACACTTTTTGTTATATTCCATGGAATGCTCTTAACATCCCGATAGCAATGAATATCTTAAGTGCTTTGACAAAAAATCCATAAAAAAATGTCATCTGTGGAAGCCGTAATACTGTAAAAAGCACGACCAATCATTTTAGCCGGCCCGGCTAAAATAACTGGATGGCCTACCTGCCTGTCAGCCTTCCATCTGTGCACAAACTTATCTCGTGCCCTCATTGGTCATGTGCGCGTTCGTGTGTGTTGGAGGAGGGGCTCTGTAAGGAAGTAGCAGATTTCTTCCGGCTGTGTATTTTCAAATTCTAGCGCACTCGAGCTGGTTTCTCCAAAATTACCTACTCCACCTTTAATGAAATGGTTTCTCCATCTTACTTCGTGATCATGCTTCTGCCACAGGAGCCTCCTAAGAACCGCCCATTGGTCGACCACCCTAACGTGATCAGCTGTCCTCACCTGGGAGCCAGCACGAAGGAGGCGCAGGCTCGTTGTGGGGAGGACATCGCTCTGCAGATTGTGGACATGGTGAAGGGCAAGAAGCTGGTCGGAGCAGTAAGTAACACTCAGTTCTACTTGTAACAAATTACTTCTCAGACCTTGACATTTTTTGTTGCCATACATATTGAAGTGTTACATTTTATCATCAACCTTTTTTTTTGGTGCAGCATGCAAGACATTTTGCATTTTAAAAAAGCAATGTAAAATATAAATGCAAAATTACACCCAGTTTGATACACTTAGCTTGTCATATTAAAAAAAAGTGAACAATATTTGAAAAGCTACTTTTTCTTTTTTTTTTGTAAAGCAATTGTACTTTACACTTTATGTTCAATACCCGTTAACTGATTATTCTTTCTGTCAGGAGAGATTAAGTTGAGGTGAATGAAGAAACAAACGAGTAGACACAAATGAAAATACAATTTTTACAACGCTTTTGTCGGCCCCTAAATTGTCAGACTTCTTAAGCTTCCTGTACAGAAGACAGGAACATATGCCACCACACCCAGTTCACAAAAGCACTCCACTGTTCATGTCTTGTTTTTATATTCAATTTTTTTCTCCTTTTTGTAGGTAAATGCATCAGTTTTGGCTAGCACTTTCTCCCAGGAATCTCACCAGCTGATCAAACTCGGAGAAGCCGTTGGAGCCGTGCTGCAGTCATGCACTTCTTCTAAGAAACCTTTCACAAGTGTTCAAATCTCTACTCGAGGTAAAACCACTCCTCTAACCGGTTTAAGGGGCTGTCATATAACATAGATAGAAAATATTGTAATCGTGTTCTCTTTCTCCCTCTAGTGGTATGATTCTGAAATGATCACTGTTGTGTCTGCAGTTGATGGCTTTCTGCTGTTTTTCATATTTAATTTGAAGTATTTAACTGTCAACACCATGTACAATTTTCTTTAAACCAGGGGATTGCATGAAGTCCTCCACTGGTTACATGACTGCATCAGTACTGGTTGGATTGCTGGCCAATGGATCTGGCTCCTGCCCGAACCTAATCAATGTGCTCAGCCTTGCCAAGGAGTCTGGAATCATGGTACAGCAGAAACTCATTCTGGCAAAGTCCACATGACAATAACGTGTGTGTCTTTACTTTTTTAAATAAAGTTTTCCTACATGCATTTCTTCAGGTAAACCAGGCCCACTGCTCATCTGATGCGGCAGGTGGTGTGTGTATGGTGGAGATCGTGGCCAGCGGCAGCAGCTTCAAAGCCACTGGTTCAGTTCAGGGTGGCGTGCCGGTGCTGCTGGAGCTGAGCGGCAGTGTGTTCAGACAGCCGGTCTCTCTCACTGGAAACCTGCTGTTCTTGAAGGCCTCCGCAAGTCCACAGCTCCTGTCCTCAGTGGCTGGTATGGAATTTTAGGATGAGGCTATTTCAAATTTCATTTAACACCCTTTCAAACTGTGAATATTGTATCATAAGGGGTGGACGACGACACGCAGTGAGTGAGTGGGAACACCATGGGTGTTACAAAGTTGACTAAATCATCCAAAATTCAATGAAAGTGGTGAAATTGTATATGTTCAAATGTCTACTGTGAAGGATATCATAAAGCCTTAATGCAATCGAATGTAAAACAAAAAAGTTATGATTGATAAAAGTAGTAAATTGGTCAGATTTGACCCGAAGACAACAGGAGGGTTAACAAAGTCTGTGTGGATCTTAAGCAGGGTAAACAAAAGTGACAGCTGTGAAAAACTAAATATAAAACATACCCAACATTCTTAGTCCAAATTAGAAACCAGCAGAGATCCATCATGCAGTAAGTCAAGGCTGGTTTTAGCTCTAATAACATTCTCAATCCTTGTTTTTAGTTTGTAATGTAATGGTTAATCTTCCAAAAAATGGTATTCTTGCATTCCACTACTTCACTTGAGTAATTTAAGCTTTCATAATAGTGTGATAGTTTGACTGCATAAGATTACAGGTCATTGCAAAAATCTGAGTACATATTTTTACAACCCATCCCCGCTGCTTTAGACTTTTTAGACAGTCGGCAGACTTAAATAAACCAAAATTCAACCAAACCTATTTCTGATCACCAAAATGAACAGTACAAGATGAAATGCCAACCGCATTGTCCTATAGATTATGTAATATGCAGTTAAGAAGCCACATATTTTCGTTAAATATGTATTTCATTTTTGGCGTTGACAAGATCATGTTTAATCTTATTCTCATCAGGCAGACGCTTTAATGGAGTAAATATAACAACACACATCTTACTTTAAAGCTAGTGAAGGGGAAATGTAGGGTTGCACGGAGTAAGTTGTTAATGTGAGGGTCATTTTGAAGTCACATTTTTTTTCGACTTTACTGATTTCAGCAAGGCAAAAACTATATATTTATTCCCTATTGTTAAATTGGTTTTCATTTTGGCTGACAGGTAGCTCTGAGTTATGACTTTTAAGCACTTAAGAGGCTGTTATTTCCTTTTAATCATACCTGTTCTGTCTTTTGCATTGTTTTTTGTAGGAGTTCTGGCCACAGCGGGAGTGGAGATCCAGTCCTTCAGTGCTCCTGCAGACCGTACTGGGGATCTGTGGTATTGTGTGGGGGTGTCCTCTCTCCCAGGAGATCTCAGTGTTTTGAAGCCTTTGGTTAAGGAGGTTGCACAGCTCAGCATTTAAATGACCGCAGCAATGCTATCTGAAAGTCTTATCATCTCTGAGAGTGTCAAATATAATTGATCTCTCTGGTCTTAGCGTTTACAACTAACAACTTTGTTTAGAAGTTGAAACCTAATGGTTTAAAACATGCATTTTGATAACATTCCAGTGTTTAGATGTTTTACATGCAGTTTGTAAAAGTTTTAAATAAAAATAAATGTTGAGTGTCTAATGCGGCTTGTCGTTTTGTTTACAGAGGTGTACAAAAAGTACAACTGCTAAAATCGCAGCAATAACAATAGTTATGTAACTGCAGTTGGGTGTTTTTCATTCAGTAATCTTCACACTGTCACTTTCTACAAATGTTTTGTGTCCGAGGGGATTTGTTTCAATTCTATGGTAATTTTGTGTCCACAGTTTACAGTATTTGATCCTCCAGGGTCCCATTACATTGTAGATCTCCAGTAAAACACCCCAGCATCAGTGGTGGAAAGTCACTATGTACTCTTTTACTCGAGTCCTGTATTAGAACTTTTGTTCACATTACAAGTATAATTCAATAATGTACCCTTTTTATGAAATTGGCCATTGTGTATAATCAGTGCTTATGGTGCAAATATACAATTATATTTGTATGCTAGTTTTTAGTTGTTTGGCTTTGACTTGTATTTCTACACTACACATTAGTACAACATAGAAAACCAACCTCAATCATTTGTTAAATACTATATACAGGTGTCACACATATTTAAGTACTTTTTTCCTATATCTAAAAGTAATTTACCCCTTGCAATTTAAAAGTAGGCATATTTAAAAACGTTTTCAACCATTGTTGTGTGCATTTAGTGTAAGCAGTAAGCACTATATTTTTTCCGTGATTTGATGCTTAGATTTAATCTAATTGTTCATGTTAAACCGTTACAATCCAGCTCATGTGGTCATTCCTGAATCTTGTGCACGAGCTCTTGCACTGTGCTGTTAATCCTTGTTAGGATTAGGAAAAGCCTTGGTCGCACTGAGAGTGGGTTCAAAACGCCATGGCAACCACAGGAAAGGGGGGAAACACGAATACTGAACAGTGCTAATGATTCATGTAAGTGGTGTATTTAAGGCGACGCTCATTTGTGTAATATTTGTATTCTGTTAGTGATGCTTCTTCGCCTCATGGTTGCACTAATGCGCCGTACGTGAATGCATCACGAGACTGGATGGAGGTTATATTTAGGCTCGGGGAGAAAAATAGCGGTGTTGGGTGAATCCTCTGAATGGTTGCTTGGTTTTGTCAAGGACCTGCTGGTGGAGAGAGGAGGGGGTTGGCCGCTGCACACAAATACCAAAATAGGATAGGACTGCCTGCGACAGTCCTGCACGAGCTAAATTGAGGCTCGTATGTGTTTTTGAAGAGGAGCGTTCACACTGTCGAGTACAGGGTCATCCATGGAAATAGGATGAGAGGTAAGATATAGTTTCTCTTTTAGCTTTCAAATCTTGAATTAAGGGATAGATAAAATACATTTGACACCACGAAATTGTCTGTCTTAACGTTATGTTATTGTAGAGCTGATGTTTTCATGTGTTCTCCCCAGATACCATGTCACTCAGGCCAGCTGAAATATACACACATGACTTCTGTGATGGTGACCATGCAGCAGAGCTCCTTGGTGCTCTCAAGCATTTCTACATAAGTGGTCTGTTTACCGACGTTGCGTTACAATGTGGCGAGTCCGGACAGGTGTTTCACTGCCACAAGGCGCTGCTGGCCGCCCGCAGCTCCTATTTCAAAGTCATGTTTACAGCCGACATGAGGGAGAGGTCAAACAGCGTCATCAAGCTCATCGGGGTGGACTGTTTGGTCCTGGATGCTCTGGTGAACTATGTGTACACAGCTGAGGTGAGCATCACTCAGAGCAACGTGCAGAGCCTGCTGGAGGCTGCAGACCTCCTGCAGTTCATCTCTGTGAAACAAGCATGTGAGGAGTTTCTCATCCGCCTCCTGGATGTGGACAACTGCCTGGGGATGCACACTTTTGCTGAGATGCACCTCTGTCCCGGGCTGGAAAGGGAGGCGCGCAGAGTGATGTTGGGCAGGTTCACAGAGCTCATTCAGCAGGACGAGTTCCTGGAGCTGGATCATGAGAAGATGGGATCAGTGTTGGCTGCTAAGAACCTCACCATGCAGAGGGATGATGTGTTGATAGATGCTGTAGCCAAATGGGTGACCCATGACTTGGATAAGCGTGTTCACTGTGCTGCAGAGTTGCTGCATACCATCCACCTGGACCTCGATGAGATTTATTTCAAGGCTACTTTAGAGGTGCCCAGACAATGCCTGCTCAACAGTGAAGGGAAGTTTAAGTCTATGATCATTCAGGCTTTAAGGTCCAATGGCAAAGAGATGTCTACAACCAGAAAAATGTCTTCCAGCATGTATATCGTTGGGGGATACTACTGGCACCCTCTTTGTGAGGTTCACATCTGGGATCCTATCAGCGACACCTGGGTGCAAGGAAAAGACATGCCTGACCATGCAAGGGAGAGCTACAGCATCAGTTTACTTGGAGCAAACATCTATGTGACTGGTGGTTACAGGACAAACACTGTTGAGGCTCTGGACACAGTTTCTGTTTATAACTGTGACTTTGATGAATGGACCGAGGGTTGCCCCATGATCACAGCTAGATACTACCATTGCTCTGTGGCTTTACATGGCTGCATTTTTGCCATCGGAGGCTACAGGGGAGGAGCTCCGGAGCAAGAGACGGAATATTATGACCCTTTGAAAAAGAAATGGTTCCCTTTGGCCAAAATGATCCAAGGTATGAAAACAATTAAGTGATGTAAATGCATTTGTGAACTGGTTCTCTTTACAGGGTCAGATTAGCTTTATGATCATGCCAGATGGAGTTTGGCTGGTTGTCATTGACATTGTTGATGTTTACCTGATTTATTTTTCTTTGCAGTTCTTGTCTACTTTGTCTTAAAAGCTGAGTTTCAGAGTTCACTCTCAACCGATAATCTGATGACGAGGCTTATGTGATTTGATTTAAAGCTCCTGGACAGCTTTCCTAAGGGAACCTGGGGATAGATTTTCTTTCTACTGCTTTTTCCGAGGTCAAGAATGAACTTTCAACCTCAATAAATCAATGCTTTCCTCAAAAATATTGTTGTTTATATCAACTGTTGACTAGGTTTGATCATATTAATGGTTGTGTTCATTCTTGACCTTTGGAATAGCTGCTTGACACAATTCTTAATTCAAGTTCCTTCTACATGTCTTCTTTCTGAGTTATAGCCACATCCTGAGTAGATGGAATTTGCTCAGTTGTCATGGAGATGATTCAGTATGACAACTGAATCATCTCCTGAACATAGATAAAGCTGGAACCCCCAGGAAATCAACAAGGAGAAATCAATATAAAAGCAATAATAAAAATGAAAACTACAGTATTTAATATGACTACTTTTATGGTAGCTCGTATTGTCAAACACATTGTAGCGGTTTAGTTAGCTAGCTAGTGAACACAGTGGAGAATTCAGTGGCTAAATGAATATTGCAAATAGATTATAGAGTTGGTAGCAAAACGGAACTGAAAGAACCGTGAATGTTGGACATAAACACTGTGTTTTCCACACATTATAATTGGTTGATAATATGTCAGTGTTGTGTTGTCAGCTTATTGCACTTCCCCCAACTGGTAACAAAATAAAATCAATGATGCAGGCTCAAGAGGTTAACATGGATGTGAGTGATTGATTAAATGATACCTATGACCTCTGTTTCCTTTTGAAGGTGTAGGAAATGCCACTGCATCAGTATTGGGAGACAAAATCTATGTGACTGGAGGTCACTACGGTTACAGAGGAAACTGCACCTATGAAAAAATCCAAGTCTACAAGCCAGATGTCAATGAGTGGAGTATCATTACAATAAGTCCGCATCCAGGTATGAGAAAAAGGAAGACGAGATTAGGTAAAAAAAAATGCTTCACATTGTATTCTGATCTAAATTCTTCTGTTTTCAGAGTATGGACTTTGTTCTGTGTCCCTGGACAACAAGCTGTATCTGGTTGGTGGACAGACAACTATCGCAGACTGCTACGACATAGAGAGAGACGAATGGAGATCAATATCAGTGATGAAGGAGAGGAGGATGGAGTGTGGGGCAGTGGCAATAAATGGCTGTATTTATGTAACAGGTGGATACTCTTACTCCAAGGGGACTTATCTGCAGAGCATTGAGAAATACGACCCTGAGCTGGACTCTTGGGAAATTGTGGGAAATCTTCCAAGCCCTGCCAGATCACATGGAAGTGTTTGTGTTTACAGTGTTTAGTGTTAAACCCTCAACACATTATTGTGTGCCAAATGGATCATGGTAAAATGAAAATTGTATCACAGTCAGAAGATATCAGGTGCACTTTTAAACACCACAGCTTGAACTGTCCTTAGAAAGATACATATTTGCCAAACTGTGAGTACAATAACAAGTATTTCACTTAAAACTCAGGGGTTCCACAGCTGGCATTTTGGCTAACTCTTGGGTACTTCAGTTTTTAACGATTGAAAGAAATACTGAAAAAAGAAAGAAGATGAATGTATGAGTATTATTCAAATACAGCTCACACAAAACAACCTCAGATTCAATAGGAAGCTATACATAATTGCTATTTTTGTATACAACTGTATAATTATTTGATTGAATATATCACTACCGTATCATGGGAATTCTGCCTGATTTAATAAGTGAGCTAAGTGGACATTGAATTATATATTATTATATATACACAGTCACACTGAAATCTGTGTTTGGCTTCATCCTAAATCTTTATGTTAAATGTTAGGGTAAAGTCTGTCTGCTTTATGTAAAGGTTTTTTTATTTAGAGTGCATTGATTGCACCTCAATTTATACTTCAGTATACAGATTAAGTAAATGTACTTGGTTACATTTCACCACTGCCTGTAATAACATTTCCCCCGAAACCTTATGTATCCTACATGTTGTTGATCTGTTTGTTTTTTTGTTTTATTATTGTGGAAATAGGGAAAATTCAATAAATATATTGTTTAATAAAATACAAGATCTGACAACTAAAAACATACAGTACATTTGTGGTGTTTTACAATGAAAGGAGACAAAACAAATAAACAGGGCGTGTAAAGCCTTCCATTGGATCCTAGAATAGCAAACTTCATTGGAATTTTTAGAGGTAAATGAAAGACCTATCTTTTGAATTTGGGGCCAATGCAGTTACTGACAGCTACACCCGGGCGCTGTACCGGCCAACACACACAGGTATTATAATCAGACTGTACTGTTTGTCACCGCAGCTGCTCCGATCCACACAACTGGCGGACAATCGTCGAGGCGTAAGCGCGAAACGTCTCTTTTTGGTCCTCGCTGTATTCCGTAGCAGTGCACGCAGTTCCACAACGTGCAGCAAAGAGGTGAACACTTTCGGTCTGAACCACGGCTTTAAGTGCTGCAAACGGAGACTCAACGATTCGTAAGTATATATTTTCAAGGTAGTTTAATGTGGCTCTTTTAGTTTCTTTAAATATCATAGGAAATTGTTTGTAGGTTTACAGAAGAACAGAGTATTTATTCGTCTAGCATGCTTTTGCTAGTATGTATTTACCCAACGTGTTAATGACTAATTCAACATTTCGCGCTAAAGTTATTTGCGACTAAATTAAAATCTCACGGATTATAACATAAACTGACACGTTTACCAGACTCAGAAATATGAGTGGCTTGGCTTTTAGTGTTTGTGAAAACAGCGTGGCCGGTACAGCTGTAGCAGATGAGCTAGCATGTTAGCTATCAAGCTAGCAGCATTTACAGCATCATATGACTGTTTCCTGTCCTTGTCAAATACACGCTGATGCTCATATTCATTTATATTTCAATTGGCTTCTTCGATTTTATTTATTTAAGATTATTTCTGTATTACGCTGTACATTTCGAGCAATAATCTGGGTTTCAGCAGTATTTAATTCTAAAATACCACATTGTAATATACACTTTATTTATTTTTAAATCAATATTGTAGCTAGCACATGTCACAAACACAATGCCCCCATAAAAAGACTAATATTTTTAATTATTTACTAGATCATCTACAATCATGGCAGAAAAGCAAGAAAATATGTCTCCAATTGAGATAAAGGTGGCACGACAAGTGGAGGTAATTATTTTTGTATTAATTTGATGTTTAATATCTTATAAGATTTGGTTGAATTCAACTCTAAAAATGTATCTTTCCCACCTATAGTACTACTTTGGGGATCACAATCTTCCAAAAGACAAGTTTCTCAAAGAACAGCTCCAACTTGATGAGGGCTGGGTGGCTTTGGAGACGCTGCTCAAATTCAACAGGTTTGTTATTCTTGTCTCCATCACGTTTTCTGCTCAAAAACACTACTTCTCAAATACTAATCATTTTTATTTTAGTGATTAATTCATTAATAGATATCCATTGATAATCACAAACATCAACTGAATGTAATAAGGAATGGTGAGGTTGAGAATTGTTCAAACAGCTGGTGGAAGGAAAGGTAAACTGCAGGGTTAAAGAGCAAAACAGTGATGACTAATCTATTTTTGAACCCTTTGCATGACTCATGACTGTCCCAAACCACATCATGAAAACCTTTGGTCAAAAATAGGTATTTTTTTCTAGGACATTTTAAGAACAACCTCTTCTATTAAAAAGTCTACATGTAGGGATTTGTATGTAGACGGCAGCTAGTGTGAGTCAGCACTTTGAAATCAATCATAATGAATTGAGAGAGCAGTGCAGCAGGAGTTCAGTTGCCTTTTATTTGTGAGCTTAGCTTTTTTTGTTGAATGTGTTTTCCTTCCCCAGACTGAAGTCTTTAACTACAGAAATCAGTGTCATTGCCGAAGCTATCCAGAAATCAAACGCTGGCCTCTTGGAGGTAAGCGAAGACAAGACTAAAATCCGGAGGTCTCCAGGCAAACCCTTACCGGAAATTAATGATGACTACAAAGATGCTCTTAAACACAAATCTGTGTACATGGTAAGTTTTTTAATTGCATTAAAACACTTATTAGGAACTCTTATGACTCAAACGTTATTGCCAGTATATTAGGCCCACCAAGCTATTGAAGTATAATACAAAACATTTTGCTACATCCTCCGTTAATGAAGAACATATTTTCATTTTATTCTTATCCTAGGTTAAATATTTGTTATTTTTACCAACATTCTTATATCTTTTGTCATCTAGAAAGGATTTCCTCTCGAAACGACCCTTGATCAGATTCAGGAGTGGCTGAATGAGAAAGACATAGAAAACATTCAGTTGAGAAGAAACCTGCAACGTGCGTTCAAGGTAAATTAGAAAAAATATTATCGAACAATTAACCGTAGTATGTTTTTCCATAGATTTTTAAGGGGAGATTTGTTTCTAAATACTTGCGTTTGTTTACAGGGATCAGTGTTCATTTGTTTTGTCACTGAAGAGTCAGCCAAGAAGTTCCTAGAACGTACAGACACAAAATCCTTCAAAGACAATGAGATGCTCGTTTTATCAAGGTAAGATTTATCTTACAAAGGCTTATGATTGACAAGTGAAGTCAGCAAATATCTGAAAGGTGACCAAATGTGAGACTGACATAGATATGAATTCAGAAATACTCAGTTATTTGGAGGGAGTGCGTACATGCAGTATGTGCAGAGGATTTGTACCCATTACATTATATAGCATTCAGCTGATGCTTTTATCCAAAGCGACTTACGTGCAGTAAACCATAAAGATTAAAACTAAGGACAACAAGAACAGTGCGGACATATCTACTTCAAAGACTGTCTTGTATAATAGATTTTCCTCTCGGGGTGCTTACTGTCCACCGCAATTCAGAAACCTAATAAGTAGATATTTTGGCATGTTTGGGGTGACGCATGTTACCAAATGTCATTTATTAATATTTGAAGCTTTCGATTAGGTTTTTTGAATGAAGGCAAAACATTTCTTTGGTATTGTGGTTTATAAATGTTATATTACAGTACACAGATTCTTCCAATAGATAAGAACGTGTTGTGAATTTTGGATTACCGTAACCTTTTATCACGAAAATGAACATTTCTTAACGAACCTCATTGTGTTTATTATAATAACACCGTCATTGCTGTCTTGCTTGCAGAGAAGACTACCACGCAAAGAAAGCAGAAGACAGAAAACACTACAAAGCGGAGAACAAAGCAAAGGCTAAACAGTGAGTACACAAACACCTTTCTGTACTAAAACATACTGTGCATTTTATGATGAATTACTGACCTTCCTTCTCCCCCCCAAAAAATCTTTAGGAACATGGATGACCAGCAGAAACAAGTAGAAGACAAAGAGATGGTAAGATCCTTAATAGTGCTTAAAAACGTCCAATCTCTAACTTGGATAGGCTCACTCATAATAATTTGTCTTTTTGTTGCAGGGTCTGCTTTTGAGTGAGAAGACAGGTTGCTTGTTGAAGTTCTCAGGAGAGCTTGAAGATGTTTCAAGAGAAGACTTCCATGAATTGTTCTCTGGGCATGGAAAGATAAAGTGGGTTGATTTCACAAGAGGAGCCAAAGAGGTAAAAAAATCTCCACCACATAAGTCTCACACTCAGGTCAAAGAGATGCAGTGTAGTTAAAATGATTTATTTTGTATTTCAACAAGGGCACCCTCCTGTTCGACGGAATTGCAAAGGAGGCATTCGATAATGCCAAAGAGGCACATGGAGGGGAATTGAAGATCAAGTCCAACATTGTGACATGGCAGGTGCTTGAGGGAGAGGAGGAGAAAGAGGAAATGAAGAAGATCATCGAAGCTCAACAAGAATCCTTCAACAGAACCAAAAACAGATGTAAATACGCTTTTCCAACCTAGCGGCTGATCTAATTCGCAAATCACCAATAGTCAAATGTATTGATGCACCTTGTTTGTATTTAAAAGCTGGAGGAAGAGGAGGAGGAGGAGGAAGGGGAAGATCCGGCGGCAGAGGAGGAAGGGGAAGATCCGGCGGCAGAGGAGGAAGAGGAGGCGGCAGAGATCAAGGCAGGAGTAATTACAAGGGCAAAAAGACGAAATTTGACGATGGTGATGACGGTAAGTCAAGCATCTTCCAGAGGTTCACATTTTGGTTTGATGTCGAGATATTAAAAACAATGTTATTGTATCTACTTTGTGCTTTTCCTCCAGCACCCATCGTCCCAAAGAGAGAAAGAGAAGACAATGATGGGCCCGCAGCAAAGGTCCCAAAGAGAGAAAGAGAAGACAATGATGGTCCAAAACTGAAAACTGAAAACGGATCTTAGTCACAGCATTGCACCGGGATTTTTTTTTTTTTTTGTGTGAAACCATTTATTATAAACAGTAAAAATGCAGAGGCAACTTAAATCCATTCCAGTGACAGCTTCAGTCTGTGGAGAATCGTAGGAAGTCCACCTGGATGTCGACCTAGAAAACAAATAGCAAAGCTTGGCGTCAGTTTTCAGCCTTTTTAAGTCTTTGTTTTTTTGTGCCTCACATTATTTGCGTACCTATATTTCTCCACTTAACACGTTTTTTAATTTTTATCATATCAAACATGAATCAGCTCTTTGACAGTAATTTAATCTAAACATTTGTTAGGTTTTGTGCCGATTTTTCCATTGCAGATTTCCTGCAGTGAGTGGTAACTTTTGCTTTGCTATTTTTGTAAGTTTGCATATGTGAATAGCAAATAAAGCCTTTATAAAATGAATCATCTGTGTGAATGTTTTTTAATTTTTTTTATAACAGCATAAGACGGGTTATAAGCTTACCGATTTCTTTTTGTGGAACTTGTAAGATGCTGGCAAGTCATATCTTAGTTCTGTAAAGAGAATGTAGAGTTTTAATATTTTATATTGAATACATTGTAAATGCACTGTATTGTTCTTACCTGCTACTACTTCCATCTTCACTCCCCAGTCATTAGCCTTCTTTTGTATGTGCTGTAATCGGATAAGGAATTGCAAACAGTTCAGTCTCCATGCCTTTTCATTAAGTTTTCATTGAAAGAACAGT